ACACGCTGAACGCGCCCAGCGGGGTGTCGCTGTGGTACCCGCTCATGCGCCGCTGCGCGGCCGACACGGTGTCGGGCGAGCTCCAGCTGCGCTTCGCCTGGGAGGTCACCGCCCGCGGCCTGCTCACCATCAAGCTGGGGGTGCTGGAGCGCGTGCTGCGTCAGCGCACCGAGATCCTGTGCGCCCTGCGCCCCGTCCCCGCGGCCACCGCGGCCCTCTGGGCCGCCGACGAGGATGGCAAGGAGGCCGCGGCGGCGGCCGCAGAGGGAGGCGGGGGCGGCGCGTCGGCGCAGGCGTCGGCGGAGGAGGGCGGGCGTGCGCCCGGCGCAGGCGCCCCGGCCAGCCCCCGGCACGGCGCTCCGTCCTCCCCGCGCCTCGGTCCCGCGGGCACGCTGCTGCCCGGCGACTTCGCGGCGGCTTCCCTGGGCGGCCCCTCCGCCGCCGGGGACGAGTGGGTGGTGCGCCCCAGCAGCGTCACGGCGCGCGTGCTGGCCAAGCACGCGCACGACGTCTCGCGCCGCACGCTGATGGTGGCGGTGATCGAGGCGCGGGGCCTGGAGCCGCGGCGTGGGGTGGTCATGGCCCTGGCCGCCTCGGAGCTGCCCAACCCTGGCGTGGAGCTGGCGGTGTCCAGCGTGGCGGCGGGGGTGGAGGCCGGCGCGTCCACCGCCGCCATCGGGCACAGCCTGACGCCGCGGTGGGAGGGCGAGCGCCACGCCTTCCCGCGCCTGGACCCGGCCGACACGCGGCTGACGGTGCGTCTGCTGGACTGCCACTCGGGCCTGCGCCACAACCGCGCGCTGCTGGGCGAGGTCACCATCGCCGCCGGGAACGTGAAGGGCGAGGACCCGGTGTACGTCTGGCTGCCCCTGACCCCGGCCAAGTCCAAGGGGCCGCCGGGCATGGTGGGGGCGGGCGTCCCGGAGCTCCAGGTGAGGTGTGATGCGTTTGCATCGGTTTGTTGAGGGGAACCTTTCCTTCCCGACTGGGCCGGCACAAGGGCTTGCGAGTGCGGTGTCACCTGCCAGGGACCCCTTTACTGCGAGCCTGCCACCTTGTGCTGCATGGATGGCCCCGCCCGCCTCCCCCCAACACTCGCGTGCAGCTGCGACTCGCCCCCAACCCCACACATCCACCCCCCCAACACCCAAATAGGTGTGCCTGCGCATGCAGTGGCAGCGCGAGGTAGTGCGCGGCAAGAGCGTCAAGGTGGAGGTGGCCCTGGCCGGCGCGGGGCTGCTGGTCATGGGCGGGCTCCAGGACGAGCTGTTCAACGTGACGCTGGACGACGTGCGCGGCGTGGCGGTGCAGAGCCGGCGCGAGCTGGAGTTCCGCGGCTCTATCCGCAAGGCGCAGCTGGACAACCAAATCCTGGACGCGGTGCAGCCGGTGGTGCTGGCCCCAGCGGCGAAGTATGGCGCCGCGGGGGCGGAGCGGGAGGGCGCGCTGGTCTCCCTCGAGTTCGTGCGCTCCTTCGCGGGGGCGGGCGCGGAGGGGCTGGAGCTGGTGGTGGACAGCCCGCGCAGCCCGGTGGCCGCCGACGCCGCCGGGCTGGGGCCCGGCACCGACGCCGGCGTGGCGGACGCGTCGGCGGCCGCCGCCGCGCGCGCAGCGGCGGCCGCGGCTGGGCCCTCCGCCTCCTTCGAGCCGCAGGCGGCGGAGAGCGCGGCGGTGGAGGACCGGCAGAGCATCAAGAGCTTCAAGCGCGTGCGCCTCAGTATTGGTAAGGAGGGGGGGGGGGGGGGGGGCGTTTGCTGGGGCGATGGGGCGGGAGTGAAATGGAGAGCCGTAAAGGAGAACGGCGCAGGGTCATATGCACCAGGGCAGGGTGGGCCTGAGGGCAGGTGTGAGCGAGGGGTAACCATCAACACCAGACCGACACGCCCACGCATTCCCGCGCTCGCATGGCCCAACATCCTGTGCGTCGCCGATCGCCCCACCCATCAACAACCCCCCCACCCCTCGCTCCTTCGAAAGGTCACCTGGACCTGCTGACCGACGAGGCCTTCCTGGAGGCCATCCAGTCCTTCTTCGCCTCCATCCCCACCGCCGACGTGTGGCAGGACCAGGCGTGGCAGGAGCAGCAGCGCCGGCTGCTGGCCGCGCAGTTCGGGCCACGCGAGGTGGAGAGCCTGGCCGTCAACGCCGTGGTGCCGGCGCTGGAGGAGGAGAACGGCGCGGACGCCGCTCTGGACTGGGTCATCGCCAAGGAGACGCAGGACCTGGCGGTGCTGCACGGCCAGTCCGACCTCTCTTCCTGGTACTTTGTGGAGCATGGTGAGCGAGGTTGGGGGTCTGAGGGGGCAAATGTTTGGGAGATGTTTGTGGCGCGGGCTTGGGAAGGATTCCTGTGGCTCCCTCCAGTGGCGTCACCAGTTGACGGGGTGCCCCCGCTGCATCTGCCCCCCGGGGTGCACCACACTCCTGGCTCGAGCGACCTGGTACTGGGATTTCTTGTGCCCTGCTCCACCCTTTTTCCTGCCAACCCCTCGTCCTTTCGGCCCTCTCCCTCCCCAATCCCCACATCATCCACACCGAATCATCATCCACACCCCTCCAACCACCACCCCGTGCCGCAGCCGAGATTGGGGGCGTGCTGATCAACGTGACGGTGTCGCTGACCTCGCGGCTGCTGACGGGGGAGCGCGCCCTGGCGACGCGCAGCGTGCAGAGCGCCGACGCCTTCCACCGCAGCCTCTCCGCCTCGGGCTTCCAGCTGGTCAACGTGGGCAACGTGCCCATCGGGCTGGGGCGCTGGGTGGTGGGCTCCGACCCCAGCCTGCGCGGCGGCCGCTTCAGCAACGGCTTCCTGAGCCAGCGCGCGCTGCAGAGCAACCTGCTGCGCCACTACCGCCGCGAGGCGCTCAAGGAGGCGCACAAGGTGCTGTCCGGCGCGGGGCCGGCCATCGCGTCGGTGCCGCTGACCGTCATCTGGGCCTCGGGCTCCGCCTTCTCCCTGCTGCGCGCCATCTCCCGCGGCGCCACCGGGCCCGGCGCCGCGGCGCAGCAGTTCGTCTACGTCCCCCTCATGGGCATCAGCATGATCGTGTCGGGGTTCTCGCGCATGCTGGCGGCGGTGCTGGCGGCGCTGCCCCCCGCCCGTGCCGACGGCGACGCGGCCACCGTCCAGCGCATCATCCAGCGCCCGGGGTCCTCCCTGGAGGCCCTCTTCCGCGTGGGCCAGGAGCTGGGCCTGGGCGTGGCGGCGGGCCTGTCCGGCATCATCCTGGACCCCGTGGCCGGCTGGCGCGCGGGGGGCTGGGCCGGCTTGTCCCTGGGCCTGGCCAAGGGCCTCGTGCTGGGCCTGCTGGGCCGGCCCCTGGTGGGCGTGCTGGAGGCGGGCAGCCAGCTCAGCGGCGCCTTTGCCCGTGCGGCTCTGGGTCGCGAGGGCATCCTGGGCAAGCTGCAGCGCCGCGTGCGCGCCCCGGGCGCGCACGGCGACGACCCCGGCGACTCGCTGGACGAGCGGACGGGGGGCGAGGCACGCGTCGCGCTGCGCGCGCTGGTGGACGCCTGGCAGCGCGTGCTGCCGCAGTTCTTCCCCGTCCTGGCGCGCGACCGCGTGCTGGACGTGGTCAACCTGCGCCCCAGCCGCGTGCTGCTGGTCACCGACCGCCACCTGGCCTACCTGCGCGCGCGCCACCTGCGCGCCCACTCCGTCTACCGCGCCAAGTGGCTGGTCCCGCTGTCCGAGGTCCAGAACCTGACGGGGTCGGCGGAGAGCATGAAGCTGGCGCTCACCCACGTCCACCGCTACGACCTCTGGCTCCTGGGCGTCTGGCCCGTGGCCGCGCGCAAGAAGATGCGCTGCGGATCGCGCTCCGTCTACGAGCACACGGTGGCCAAGCTGTCGCGCCTGCTCCAGGCCGCCAAGGCCGGCGGCGGGCGCCTGGGCTGGGGCGACCGCGAGGACGTGCTGCGCGGCGGGGCCGCGCAGCTCACCATCCTCTCCGCACCCTACCACCCGCCGGAGGCGGGGGCTGTGACGGCGGGAGCCCAGAGGCCTGCTCCATCCGCCGACGCCAAGTGACGTCGCTGACCCCAGGAGAGATGAGAGAGTCGGAAGCGGGAGGGCCAATGTCATTGGGCGCCAGTGGGTGCCTGCTGCCTCCATCCACACCAGAATATTCAGTTCCTGCTGCCTTCTGCTGCTTGGGGGGGAGGGCACACGATGCACTCCCATCCCTTCCTTGTACCGCTGAATAAAGAGTCCTTGATCGCTTTTATGAAACCTGTAACGACAGCCAATCAGCTGGTGGGATGACAATGGATGGCAGAAGCACTCTTGAATGATGAATGACATGCTCATGTCCATCAGGACCGAACCAGTATGCGGTCTCTGGGCGATGACTGGAATTGGTGTGTGCTGGAGTCCTTTCTCGAATGACTTTGAGAGAGGACCATTCCGAATGTCAGGGCGCGAGATGAGGCGAATTCTCTGCGTACCCACAGACCCATCCAGCTGCGAGCCTCGCCTGCCATGGGTGATCTGATAGTTTTATGTGAAATGCTGCATGCTAGTCTAGGCATCGCCTGCGTTGGATAGGGTGTCCAGGCCTCGCGAGGCAGCCATAAGTGCTCGAGGGTGAGCTGCGCCAACTTCCGAGACCATGCGCCCACTCCTCACGCATGCATTCCGCGCCTTCTCAGCCTCGGCCAGGGCACCATTGAGACCTGCCTTGGCGTGGCGAGGCCAGGCAAAGCGGCGATGGGCGGCGAGCAGTGCACAACCGCGGGCCCAGAGCGCACAGGGGAGTACTGAATCAGACGAGTTTTCCATCACCTGCCCTCTTTTCTACGTCAATGCTGGTGCGAAGGGATGGACCCTGGAATACTCGTTTGGAATATTGCGTGAATGACAAGGGCATGCGTGAGCAAGGGGTTGTGGATGGGTCATAGAGTAGATTGTACATGGAAATCTTGCTCACGTCCATGCAGACATGAACTTTGTCACATCTGGGCCCATGCACCGTCTGCTTCCCACCCTCCCCACCACGCAGCGCCGCACATGGGCAGTGCCTACTCTACGATATCGACCGATGTGTTTGCCAGGTTCCAGGCAAGGCATTGCGTTGGGTGGGCATTGTTTGTCTGCATGGGCATGAAACTATTGGGTTCTCCAGCCTCTTCTGAAACATAACATCAGGCTTTCCACTGCTCCATCCTTTCCAGAGGATGCAAGGACGAAGGGTGAGGTTTGTCGTGGGCACCGACGAGCATGGGGAGAAGATTGCTGCCGCCGCCGCCGCGCGTGGACTGGAGCCCCAAGCCCACTGCGACGACATAGTCGCCAGCTACACCAAGCTGTGGGCAGATGTGAGAAGAAGGGGGACTGAGATGTGGGAAGGGCAGAGGTCAGTGGATGGCTCTGCATGAGCCCTGGGAAGCAGGCACAGCAGCAGGCCGGGAATACACTACCGTGTCCACTTAAGATTGTGGCTTGATGGACCCTGACAGTAGGAGGGCATTCAAACCACTCCACCACATAAACCCAGCAGCTTCTACTCCATCTCAACGATCGCATGCTCAGTCTCATGCACATACACAATTGCAGCTCGGCATCTCCTACGATGTCTTTGTGAGGACCACCCAGCCGGCGCATGCGGAGGTGGTGGCCCAAGTACTGGAGCGGGTGTGGGACAACGACGTCTACAAGGCGGCCTACAGCGGGTGGTACTGCGTTGGCTGCGAGGAGTACAAGGACGAGCTGGAGCTGGGTCCAAGTGAGGCAGGGGGTTCGCTGGTGGGGGTTGCAACTCGCGCACAAGCTGGACAAGGAGTAACGAAAGCTGAAAGTGGGAGCCTCTGCATGTTTGAGATGTTTCAATGCCGTGCATCGACACATTCATGCATACCCAAAGAGCAAGCCGCCCACGCCCTGCCCCAAAGATCACTCTTCCAATCCCGCAGATCACACCTGCACGACCCACCAGACACTGTGCCAGCACAGGGAGGAGGACAACTACTTCTTTGCACTGTCCAACTACCAGCAGCAGCTTGAGGTGGGGATTGTACATCAATGCGTTTCTTTCCCTGAGCAGTGTCAATGGCTCGCGATGGAGGGGATTGTTTTTTTACTCTCTGTGATCGGCAACCTTTCAAATGCTGAGGCTGGTCCCCCCCAACCCCTCTGCCAAACATTCTCTCCCCCCCCCCCCGACCCCCCTTGTACACACACAGGACTTCCTGGAGACACACCCAGACTTTGTGCAGCCCGCCTCGGCCAGGAACGAGGTCCTGGCCTGGGTGAAATCTGGCCTGCGCGACTTCTCCATCTCCCGGTCTGCGGTGTCCTGGGGAATCCCTGTGCCCCTAGACCCGAGCCACACGGTGTACGTCTGGTTTGACGCGCTGGTGGGCTACCTCACCGCCCTGCTCCAGACGCCACCTGGGGGTGTGTCGCTCGGTGCGACTGGCGGGGCACCGCCTGACACGGCGCGTCCCAAGGGCGAGACGCCGGGCTCCCCCCGCCTGGACGACCTGCCCCGGCACGGCTGGCCGGCTGCCGCCCACATCATTGGCAAGGACATCCTGCGCTTCCATGCCGTCTACTGGCCCGCCATGCTCATGGCCGCAGGTGTTGGGCTGGGGGGTGGGACATCTTAGATTCAGGACGTTTGATTGGGGCGTCTGAGGTGGAGGGAAACATGGCTGGAGTCCTGTGCTTCATACTCATCTGCGTCCTTTCTGGAGAAGCTTGGGTCCGGGGGCGGTTGTGCCTGCACCTGCACCTTGCTCCCCACCCAAGGGACTCTGACTTGCCAGGGAAAGATGCTGTGCCAGCCCTTGGCCATGATGTTCCCCGGTCTTAGCATCAGCTCGTCCCATTGCCCCAGTCCCCCCCCAACCCATCTCCACCCTCCCTCTCCTTCAACCAGGTCTGCCCCTGCCCGGCCGCGTGTTTGGCCACGGTTTCCTCACCAAAGACGGCAGGAAAATGGGCAAGTCCCTGGGCAACGTGTTGGATCCACGGGCTCTGGTGGATGCCTACGGCGCTGACGCCGTGCGCTTCTTCTTCATGCGCGAGATCGCGTTTGGCGCCGACGGCGACTTCAGCGAGGCGCGGTTCCAGGCCACGGTGAACGCAGGCCTGGCCAACGACCTGGGCAACCTGCTGAAGCGCACGCTGGGCATGCTGCACGCCAACGTTGGGGACAGACTGCCGTGCGGCGCAGGCGAGGCAGGGGTGCGGGACGCCACGCGCCTGCCGGGCGTTGCCGAGGCCGCGGCGCCGCGTGCCGCGGCGGCCTATGCGGCCCTGCAGCCCCACGCCGCCTGCGAGGCGGCGCTGGCCGTCAGCGGCGACGCCAACCTCCTCCTGTCGGAGCTGCAGCCCTGGACCGCCCTCAAAAAGGCAGGGCTTTGGCTTTGTGGATTGTGTGTGCGGAAGGGGGGAAAGGGGGCCGGCGGCGGCCCATGGTGGATTTGAGATGGGCGACCTCCAGATCGGACGGCATGGACACTGAATGAATCGCGGGGATGGTGGAGCGCATCTTTATCAAAGGGTGGCCTGTGGCAAGAACAGGTGTTCTGCTCGAATTCCCACCCCGCCATACCACACGTGTCCCCCTCCGTGAACGCCACCCCCTCATTGACAGGGGACGGAGGAGGAAAAGGCCGCCGCCATCACGGTGCTGGTGGCGGTGCTGGAGGCGGTACGCATCGTGGCCGTACTGCTGAGCCCCGTCACGCCCAGCCTCTCACATGCCATCCTGCGCCAGCTGGGGCAGGAGGCGGCTGCTGCGGGGCAGCCAGCCTGGAGTGACGCCGCCTGGGGAAAGTTGCAGGCCGGCACGCGCCTTCCGCCGCCGGAGCTGGTCTTCGCGCGCATCGCCCGGGAGTTTGTCACAGAGCCGGCGGCGGGCGCGGCCGCGGCGCCGACCAAGGGCGCCAAGCGCAAGGCCCAGAAGGTGGCGTCCTGACTCTGAGTTTCTGCGATGTGTGGCCCTTACGTTGCTGGACGACATCTTGGATTAAAAAAACGTGCCAAGACTTGCCAGCATGTGATCCCCCGCCGCCTGGACCTCGCAGCTGCATGGCAGCCATGTTTGCTTGTCTAATTGCCTGCTCCTTTCGGATCCCAGCACATCAGAAGCGAGTTCAGCATCCAAGGACCATAACTCACTGGCCCCTTATGCTACAGACTGCCGCAGGCGGGAGCAGTTGAGGTGTGCGCCAGGGCCTGAAGGTGGGAGTATGATACTGTTGCAACAAATGGTACAGGGCCATGGCTTCTCAGCCAGCAGGGAACGGGGGCTTGGTTGGTCAGTTCGACGCGCATTTGGCAGTGCGCTCGAGGGGGAAAAGGCACGAACTCGCACCAAAGGTGCGCTCAGCGCTGGTGGGCGAGTCCGCGGCACGCCCACAGGGCGAGCGCGGAGCCCACCGCCGCGCCAGCGGCTGCCGTGCCAAAGACGCCAGGGAGGATGCCCGGCGGGAGGGCGCCCGGCAGGAGGGCAGTCAGGGGCGCGGGAAGGGGATGTGAGGCCCCGGCAGCGCCGTCGAGCGCAGCCCCCGCCATGCCCCCGAGCTCCCTCCGGCCGCCGGCCTCGCGCAGGAGGCGCAGCTGCAGGGCAACTTCCTCCAGCTGCCTGCCCAGCAGCAGTTGGCTGTCCAGCAGCGAAGCCAGCCGCGCCTCCAGGTGCGGCGAGCTCGGCCCCTCGCCCCCGGCCCTGCTGGGGGCGGATGCCCCCGGCGGCCCGGCCGTCCCCTGGCCGGCGGCCTCCTCGCCGCCGCGCCGCGGCGCCCCCTCCTCGCCTGCGGCCCGGGCGCGCCCGTTGGCGGCCGGCGCCGGGCGCGCCCGGATCGCGACGCCCCCGCCCCGTCCGCCCTCGCCCTCGCTCTGGCTCCCGACGCCACTGCTGGAGGAGGCGGTGTCCTCCACCTCCCGCCCGCCGCGCTTGGAGCCGTGCGCCGACCCGGCCGCGCCCATGTGCTGACTCAGCAGGCCCTCGGGCCGGGACCCCACCCGCTCCTGGCCCACGCTGCCGGGCGACATGTGCAGGCGGCTGGCGGCCACGGGGGCTGCGGGACGGGCGTGGAGGGGGCACCGTCGGGCGTGCCTGAGACGGTGGGCGGGCACTGCATGCAGCGCACCCTCCTGCCCACGCCCTGACCTCCTCCCACACGGCCCCAGGCCCCCGCCAGTCCTCCTGCATGCCCCTCCCCAGCACACCACCCCTCGGCGCACCCGAGGTGCTGAAGGGCGTGGTGCCGCTGCCGCCCCCGCACCCCGACAGCTCGAACCCCAGGGTGCGGCGGAAGGAGCCGGAGGCCAGCGGGCTGCTGCCGTGGGAGAAGCTGCTGCCCAGCAGGCCCGGGCCGTCCAGGGGCTCCCCGGAAACCTTGAACCGGCGCTTCAGGTCCTCGGTCACGGTCTGGAAGGAGGTGGTCAGGTTCTCGATCTGCACCAGCTCGATGTAGGAGTGCGGGATGTAGGTGCCCTCCAGGCCCAGCGCCGCGCCGAGGCGCGTCGTGGCCTCCCTCTCCTTGCTTTGCACCTGCGCAGCGGGGGGGATGGGGTGCGTGCCTGGGGTTGGAGAGGGGAGAGGGAGGGAAAAGGGGGCGGTGTTGCCGGCGCGTGGCCGCAAGGAGGCGCCGCGACGAGGTGGGACTGGGGGAGCGACAGAGTTTCGCCCAGGCACCGCCGGCAACATTGCCAAGGGTGGCACGCTGCGCAGTCAGGGAAACAAGCATCAAGGTATCCGTCCGCAGTGGTCACCGAATATCTCCCCCCCTCTCCACCACCCGCTCACCTGCACAAAGCTGCGGTCCATGCCCTCGATGGCATCCAGCTTGATGGTCACCCTGCGGCACGAGGACGCCGGGAGTGCGGTGCTCGAGCGGCGTCTCACACTGGCGATGCCCGTGACAGGGCTGTACTGGGGCGCCTCTCATGTCGAGAGCGTCCCACGGGGGGCCTGCCTGGAGGTTTCACTATTCAGGGATGGCAGCCCAGGGCCCACCCACAGGCCCAGGTACCGCTTGTGCCCAAGTCCTCCCAGTGCCCCCAAGCCCCCCTCCAGCCTTCCACCCCCCCCTTTCACACCCACACCTGTCGTTGGAGAAGGTGCGGCTGGTTCGGCGCATGATGGTGCCGACATCGTACCCCAACGCCATGAGGCCGCCCAGGATGCGGACGGGCACCTCGAACGTGACCCTGGGGGAGATGATGACGCTGCCGTCCACCACCCACTCCTCAAACATGAGGGAGTAGCGCCCATCGCGGTACCGCATGCGCAGCCAGCTGGCGCACGACTCCGCGTCCTCGTTGGGCGGGAGGAGGTAGATGTCGTAGCTCTCCGTCGTGTCCTGCTTCACCGCAGCCGCGCCGTCGCCGCCCTGTGCAGTCGGTCGGTGTGGGAGGGTGGACCGGGTTGGGAGGGGGCGGCCGAGGGGTGCAGGGAGCGGGGATTGGAGCACAGGGAGGGGTCCCAAGCACACATGCCCACGGTCAGGTGCCCGCCAAAGCGCACGCAGGTCACATTCCCCATGCACCCACACGCCAAACACACACACAAAGCCGCAACACCCGCCCATCCAACCCTGGTGACACCGCGGGCTGCTGCTCACCTCGGCCAGCACGGCCAGCACCTGCTCCTCGGTCACTGCGCTGGCCGACTTGAGGATGTAGGTAGGACTCATGAACCCGGAGAAGGGGTTGAAGCGGTTGTGGATGCGCAGGTGGGCGGCTTGCAGGTCGGGCTCTATGAAGGCCTTGTACATGGGGTACACCGTCTCGGAGACCTGCTGGATGATGTCCTCCGCCGCCTGCCCCGAGCGGTTGATGTCGCGCAGGACGCGCTTGACCAGGTCGAAGTGCACGCCGCCGGTGATGGAGACGCGGAGGTCCAGCATGGGGCGCAGGCGCTGGCTCAGCGCGTAGATGCCCTCCAGGATGACCACGCGGGAGGAGGTGACCTCCACGCGCCGCGTTCCCACGCGCCGGCTCTCCTTGAAGTCGTAGATGGGGACCTCCGCTGCGCGGCCGGCACGCAGGTCGGTGATGTTCTGGATCAGGGTGTCGAAGTCGGTGATGCGGGGGTCTGCAGGTGTGTGTGTGTGTTAGGGAGGGGGGCAATGAAGAGGGGAGGGCGGACGCATGACACAGGGGTGGAGGAGGCATGAGGGGCGCGGTGAAATGCCAGGATTGCAAGGTCCCAGATCATAAAACCAGAGCCAGCTGCCCGCTCTATGACACACATGGCCTGTGCACACAGGGAAGGGGACATAGATGTACGAGGCTCCCAACCTCGCCCTCTCAACCATCCCAACCGACACACCCACCATCAAAGTTGCCGTCGATGACCTTGCTCCCGTCGTTGTACATGTCCATGCTCAGCACCACGCTGTCCGGTATGAAGGACTGGATCTTGGCTGAGAAGGCGGTCTTGCCGGACCCGGAGGGGCCCGCAAGGCCCACCAGGATGGTGTCTCGGTTCTGGGAGCAGAGCAGCTGGATGGCCCGCACCACCATGAAGGACCCCTTTTCGAAGCTCAGCAGGCCCTCGCGCGGCTTGATGGTGTACCGGGAACGTCCATCCCCGGACTTGTACTTCACCAGCTCCAGCTGGTCTTTCAGCAAGGCCTGGGGGATCAGGGGCGCAGGAGCGGCGTGGGACGGCGCCCTTCAAGGCAATGCGGGCTGGTGTGGAACTGGACGGCACAGCGCTCAGCAGCAGCTCCTCTGCGCTGCATTCTTGCATATTATCACCTTTTTCTCGCGAGACATGGGCGTACGCGCCTCCCCTGCTCGGGACCCGTTCCGCACGATGTCCATGGCTGGTTCAAATAGCAAGTACGAGATAGCGAGCGAGGAATGGAGAACCCATGCAGGGTGCCGGGTGGGGCAGGAGGCTTGCCACACTGCAACGAGGTTGGGCCGAGGTGGGCGTCAAAACGGCTCGAGCAGCTGTCGAACACCTGGGCCCGGATCGAAACGCTTGGAATCCTGCTCGCTGCATGGTTCCCAACCTTGACCGATACCTCACACCCAGCCAAAAGTCACCGGAGCCCACCCATGTTTATGCAAGTACTATAATCCCGAAGTATCGCTTGATCGGGCTGTGAACCCCCTCGTTCTACCCGGCCCGTAGTCGCCAGTTCGCGAGGCCTGGCCATGGCCCTTAGAGAGTTGGGCAGGCACGGTATTTCCGCTCCAAGGTGTGCCCAGATAAGGAGCAGAGGTGGTAATGCTTCAGCAGCTCTCCCAGGGTACTCGTTGGTCCTAAAATCTTAGCACTGTGTTTCTGCACACTCTACCCTTTCATAGCCGAGAGGGCCAGTCCGACTGAATGGGTGCTTGGCACCATTGGATGAGCTCATGCATATCAACTGAACAGCTGGTGGCAGGAGAGGTCGTCATCCGGGCAAGAGCAACGATACGCGTCCGCGCTACAGTCGTGGGGAGGTAGTCTGTTCCTATCATTGCATGGCTTCCTTACCCTGCCCAGAGGCATCACATTCTCAATTCCCATGCCATACGAAGGTAATGCGCGTGCCAGCGCCGTGCCAGCAGGGGGTTGGGTGCAGTATCGTGGGGTTTGGCTAGTCCAGGCAATATGAACTGATTTGGTTGGTCCAAGGTAGACTTACCACATTCAAGTCCCAAACTCCAGTGTGGGCGTTGGGTTTCGTGGTCTGAGACGCGTGGCGTGGGTTCGGCGCAGTGCACGGGTCCAGGCGAAGAGGAGAATAGGGCCCGGTCATAGTAACACCAAAAAGGAGGTGCAGAGAGAGGCAACAGGGTTCGCCACCCCCTACTTGGAGTGGGCGACCACCAGCATTGTACGCTAACAAGAGCCTCATTGAAGCTGACATTTCCCATTGAGTTATGCACAGATCGACTTTAGTGTAGCGGATCCAGATCCACGTTGATTGTGAGCGAATGTAGAACGCCGCCGGCTGAATCATGTGAAGTCACGATGGAAGGTATCCTCCTGACAAGCTGGTGCATGCCAGACACCTCCCAACTGATAGTTGCCGTCCTCTTCTCTGAAAGGCTCGTGTATCACATCCTATTGAACCAGGGTCGTGCTCGATGCCATTTTTATGTTGTGTGGGAGGTGTGGGTGACCCGTGGCACTCGATGCATCACTCCCATTCCACGCTTCATGGATCTTGATGATGTGATCGTGAAATGTTAGAATCTTTTCCTGCTACCGCCTTCTCATTCGCAAGGGAGGTATGAAACCTCGACATACCAGGAAGGTGAGCTTGCGTCCCTGAACCGCTCCGGAGGTGTACAGAGCTGCGGACGCTCTCGACATCTCGATTTGGACTGTCGTCGCTGGTGATGGTGGTGAGGTTTCGCATGTGGGCTGTACCATGGGAATCGCCAACGAGCATCGCTCGGTCTACTCTGCTTGTGCAGGGTGATCGAAACTACGCATTTCCGGAGATCCTATGAGGTGGTGATAGCGTCACCCTCAGGGGTGATGTGTACTCATTGATCTACATTGTGATGGAGACCCCCACCCCATAGGATCTCCGTGGATGCGCAGTCTGCATCAACCACGTACAAGCAGAAGAGACGTAATAATACTTGTTGGTGGTTCTTCTGGAAATTTCATGTGCAAATTCCATCACTCTCACCAGCTATGACACCTCATGTCGAGGGAATGTCAAGAGCGTCCGCAGCAGCTGTGTATAGCTTTGTACACCTCCGGGGATGATTGGGGGACGCAACTCCGGGATTTCAAAGCATCCCTTGCAAACTGGGAGACGGTGGTTAGACATCAGATTCAAACATGCAATGATCGCACAATAAGATCATCAAGTGTTGAATGGAAGGGCTGCAGGTCATGCCCCGGCCGCCCACCCCTTCATCTCAAAATGGAGCGACGTCAAGGGTGGCGATGTTGCCATCGTATGTGTTTCTCGGGCCGTCAGAGGCGGAGGATAAAGTTAATTGATGAGGAAGACTCTGGCATGTATCCGTGGGTCAGGTACATTTGCTATGGCCTGCTCAACAATGGGAAGTCGGGTTCATTTTCCATCGCGACATACCGAGGTTGAGCCACCGGCCCTTACCTTCAATTATCATGGATGCAGGTGTTCATTCCACCATGCTGCTGTCAATATGTGCAGGACTCGGCGATATTATCTGCTTTCAAGGGATTGTTATACAGCAGAAGGTGTCGGTGGTCGCCCTTTCACCCTTCTCCGCTGTCCTTTGCGCGAATCAGCCGCGTCCCACTCGCATTTTAAACGGGATCAGAGCTTCTTATGGCATACCGCAGCCAGGGCAATATCACAGGAGTTATGTGGCAGGGGCCTCCCTATGTTTCCTGCGACCTGACATCCCATCTGCCTCAGATTTTATCACTCGCAGAACAGCATCAAGACAAGAACGACCCGGTCCTGCTTCACGTGTTAGTGTACTGCATTCTTGGAAATGAAGAGTACTCAACCAAAGGGGACTCGATTTGTCAGTATTCCACTCTCTCTGTGTCTACACAGCATATGGAGAGGAAAATTCAAGATCCTAGCTAGCCCCATTTGCCCTGCCCTCCGCGCCAGACAGTGCCATGGCATATCATTCACCATGTGCTCACCGGCATGTGAGATTTCATGCACAGGCATCCCTCCTGGTCGAAATATGCCTGCGATACTACCATGACACCGTAGGGAGCACTCTGATGGCTGTTGGAAGTACTCTAATCCGGCCTGGCATGGAAGAGGACTTTCACAAGCTTGTCTGAACCTGTCACGAGAGCAACGGGTGCACTGGGAGGCGTGTGGTGGACGAACACATGTCATCCAAGCCGTGTTGTCCTTGCCATACCACTCTTCACACCCACCAATACAAATGGGTGCAGCGTGGAGTGCTGAAGTGGGGCCTGTTACGGGAAGAAGTGGTGTACAAACAGGGACTGCAAAGTCTCTGTCATGGATCGCGACCGTCAATGGGGCGGGCAACATACTGATGTTGCCGTTCTCTTCTTTCCCCAACGGTCCGCCCATTGTGGCAACCATCACGCATGCGTGCTACCCTCGGAAGGTGCAAAGCAGCCGGACAGCCCAGCAGGGATCAGGGCAGTTTGTTTTACATGTTACATGATGCTCCATCTCACGTGAGGTTAGTCTTGCAAGCTCCTGGAACAAAAAGGCCATAAAGATGGATGTTAGCACAGTAAGGGTGTATCGGTGCTCAGGGATAGCGTCACATTCAATGCGCATGAGGATTTAGATGCTATTTGGAACCCCTAAGCTATTGGCGTGGTTTGGTCTCCAATGGGTGTGGACCCTCCCCAGCCAACAAGGCTTCCCCGGCAGTACCTCTGATCCAGGGTTACAGAGAGCACCTTACAAGCGCAGATGGCGTGGCACAACAGAACATCCTCTCATTGTCATGGATCGCACAGAGAAATCCCTAGCAAGCTCAGGCTGCCCCACGACACCAAGGGCGGCCAAAGGATTGCAGTGGCTGCACCTCACTCCTTGATCAGTGCGAGCCGCAGGCACGTGACACCAATGATACTACAAATTCCAGCTACAAAACAGCCCCACAGCATCAGGCCTCCTTCTTGATGTCGAAGAAGAAGTCTGCGGCGCGCAGGCGGTCGATGAGGGTGGCGCCCAGTCCGCTGGCGGGGGTGAGGAGGCCACCGCGCTGCAGCTGTGGGTCGGCATCCAGGGCATCCGACTGCAGCGCGAGGCAGAGCGCGGCCTCCAGGACCAGGCGGGAGCCGCCCTGTGGGTTTTGCGCAATGATGGATTCCGTGAGGCACGCTGAGTTGTGGCAGCGCTGATGCATTACCACGCAAGCCGTTTTGCTCATGCAGCACCAGAGCGATACCCTGACATGAGCACCCTGATATCCTGACGTCCATCCCTCATTCATCCTGCTGCAGCACCGCCCTCCACCACTCCAAGGTCAATCTCAAGCTCACCCAGTATCCCGGGTCTCCGTGGTTCCAGCCGACCTCTGCCCGAATGGTTGTGGGGGCTGTGCCATCCTCCTCCTGTTGGATTGAATGCGCAGAGACAAGGTGGCATTCTGGATATCAGCCGCTCAACTGCACTCTGCTGGCTACCAGACCGGCCCCAGGCAAGTCAAAATATGAGCTCCCTGCCTCACCTGTCCAGCATCACACCCCATGCCCAGGGTCCACCCTCCATGAACAAAACCTCAGCCCTGCAGCAACATACCTGGGTCTTGGCCAGGACGATGTGCTTGAAGTGCCCGCCCAGCATGGCCTCCCTGGTGGGGCCCTGGCCCGGGTTTGGGAGGAAACGGAGGAGCAGGCCGTGCAGCCAAGCCTGGCTGAGCGCCAGGCCAAAGCCGAGCACCCCGGCGCGGATGGCCTGCGCACCCAACCAGCTCTTGGCGGGCACGGTCTCCTCGTACCGGAAGTCGTCTCCGTACGACAGAAAGTAGTTGGAGCGGTGCACCACGCGGTTGTTGCTGGGGAGGAAAGTGGGGTGGGCAAGAGGGGAGGGCTGCTGATGCCGGGGCCATCAGGGTGCCCGGCCTTCATGGCGTTTCAAGGTGAGTCCTGAAACCCCCGACGCCACCTCAACTCACCAAACCTGCATGAAGAAGCCCGTGAGGTACTTGTGGACGTCCTCGTTCCACTTGACGCCCCAGAACTCTGCATCCCTGCCCCAGGCAGAGCGCGGGGTCAGCGCATAGACATTGCGTCCATCGTCTGTCTTGACGCTCTGAGAGGCAATCTCCATGCCTGGGCACGAGGGTACGGGGATGCTAAGTTTGGTGGGGAGCTAAGAAAAGTATGCCCTGCGGCCCTCGTGTTGGTGCTGCTTCATCATACGGGTCGTGCCAGGGCGGCATCTTGCACACTGTGCAAACCCCCTACAAGCCCGTAGAACAAATTCCAAGCACCCCAACCTCGCACCCGAAGCGATGGTGCCTCCAGACACACCGCCCTTGCCCTCTGCAACAACAGTGGTGATGCTCGCCAGCTTCTTGCCCAGCTTCTCCTGGGCGTGCTTTGCCACCAGCAGGGCGCCCAGGTCGCTGGGCACCGAATCGTACCTGATGGAGGCAGACGGCGTGCGTGAGGGGGAGGAAGCTGTGCACTACTGCTCATGACCGGCTCCCACCAGGCTTTCTGTTGATGCTCTAGCAGACATCAATCCACCTTTTCATAAGGAAGGACAGCGCCAACACTCACGCGCAGCATGGGATGAGGCGGATGCCCTTCTCCCTGGCGGATTCGTGGTACTTTTCCACCAGGGTTGTAACCCAAGGAATCTCCCCTGCCAAAATTTGAATACAGAGAGGGTGACTGACCTGGGACAGACGCGGAGTCCCCACCACACGATGCTCGCATGACAAGCAGGGCGTACACAACTCAAGGCCCCAGCCGCACAACTTTGTATACCCCGCAGCAAGAAACCAGAACACGTCTGCATCATCCCATCTTCTACCTGTGATGTCAACATAATGCGTCCCAGCGTGCACGGCAGCGTCGACAACGGGGGTGCCGAGCCTCAGGTAGGGTCCGGCGGTGGAGATGACGACTTTGGCCTGCGAGAAGGCGGCACGCAGCGACTGGGGATCCTCCAGGTCTCCAAGCAGGATGGGGACGTCCTGTGAATAGAACAGAGGGTTGGGGAGGTTGGCATGGAGGACCACCAATGCCTCAACAGATCACATTGATGAGCCCGGGAAGCACACCCCCTGCACAACCTTTCCCCCTCACACTTGCCCCTTGCATTGCACTAGGCTTGGCACCTGGCCATCACCGTTGATACAGCCCTTTGTGCACACCTCCTTGTCGAAGCCGTACTGGGTGCTCAAGGAAAGCCGCAGGCTCTCGAGGCGGTCCCTGCTTCGGCCAGCGATCGCCCACTTGACTTTGCCCTGTGGCCAAGGGTGAGAACAAGGGGCTTACAGGAGACAATCCAAAAGCGCAGAGTTTCTCAGGGAAGGGATAAGGTGCAGGTTGCAACAACCATCAAGACAAGAAGTAACCCAAGTACCTGGTAGGACTGTGCTAGGTGCTCTGCCACCAATCGACCTGCAGGAGGAAGAAGGTCACCTCACGTACCACACGGCATCCGCATGGCCAGAAATTAATCAATGCCGGCATGTCTGGTTCAATACTGATGGTACAAAATCATCTGAGTATTCCATATCTCACCTGTGAAACCAGTGGCGCCCCAGAGGACAAGGTGGAAGGGGCGCGCCGTGGTCGCCATGGCTGGTTTCTGGGTGGCCAAGTTGGTAAAAGCTCTTCGAGGTGCCAAACTTGCGATCCTTGCAGTGAATGAACTTATACTGATCAACCCTGAGATACTTAATCAGCTGAGCGAGGGGGTCGACACTGACGCGTGCCTATATGCTTTAACCATTGGTAAGCAAGCCAAGTACATCGCAGGTTCTGCTCGCGCGCGCGAAGTCTCGACACACTTTCGCCCAGCCAACCCACTGAGTGACGGCAACGTATTAACACTACATAGGAATGTAATGAGCCAAACTTATAGCAGATAGTAGTCACATCTTGCTGTGGCGATGAAGAGCGTGCTCATGCCCCCCCATCGGTGTGTTTTGCATATCACCATGCATCATCCCTCCAACCCTTGCTGAGACTTCATTCGACACCCTGCCTCACCATGCCCGAGCCCGATGTAGCTCACCGAGTACCACTGAGGCGACTTCAGCTGGGAAGCATTGGCGTGCCGGGTCGTCTTGGAGCTTGTCCTCGCCATTTCCAGGCCGACAGCTTGGCATGGGAGGTGGACGAGGAGCCAGCAGGCACCCCCTGGACCTTGCCAGCTCCGACCCCCGGCCTCGGCGCCTCCTCTGGCCATGCATCGAGCACACCAGCTGCATCAGCCAGCGATGTACATGGTCCAGGCCAGCTGGACCAGGGCTCCCTCCCAGAACCCTTCCAAGGGGCAGGTGTCCTGCATGGCAGCGGCGACGCCCCTCCAGCCCCCGGCCCGGTCCCCACCGTGTTTGTGGGCACCCTTTACCTGCCCTCCACGCCTGGCATCGCGACCCCCTTCAGCCGCTTCAGCGGCAGGACGCCCTCCGGCGGGGCACCCCCGGCCCTGATGCACGAAGTGGTCAGGACTGACGCACGCTGGGCCCGCTTCCTGGCCGCGACCACCCCCTTTGTGGCCTACAACCTGCTGCTGGGATCCAGGGTGGGCAAGGACACGGTGGTGCTCACCTGCCGGGACGCCGCCGAGCGCCTCAGCGCCGGCCTGGTGAGCAGAGAGGGGGGGGTGGCCGGGACCCCAGCGAGGCGGCTCTGTTCTCGGACTGGTGCCTGCGTTTGCAACCTTGGCGTCACCTTGCCGTAGCCAGCCTGTTGTCACGTATCTCCCTTCTCACTCCCTGAAACCCCGTTCCACCACAGGTCAAGCTGGTGCGGCCTGGAGAGGAGGATCCCTCCCCTGCAGCCCCCGTGCCCCCGCCCACCGATGACGAGCGGGCCAGGGCCAGGTTCCGCGAACGTGAGTGGCAGCAGTGCTGTTCCTGGCTGGACTAGAGCGGAAGGACGGGGCGGTGGAGCCTGTCACGATCTTGTACACAGGGTCCTGCCTCACCTGCGGCTCTGCTCCCTCCCCCCCATCGCGCCGCAGTCATGGAGAGGGACAGCGGACCGTCGGCCGCCGCCCAGCCTCCGCTCCCGCCAGGGGGGGGGACCCGGGGCTGCTGCTCACCCCCCGCCTCGGCGGCGGCGCTGCCCGACGGCAGCGTGCTGGAGGAGGTGCCCATGCACGTCGCCGAGGACGCACCCTCCCCGCAGTCCGCGGTGATGGCCATCCCCGTCCGCTGGGCGCTATTGGCCATGGCCGAGCTGGGCCGCCGGGGCCCGGACGACGGCGAGGGCGGTGGCGGAGGGCCGGTGGCGAGGCGGCACGCCGGCGCGGCTTGCGGCGGGGCGGGGGGCTGGCGGTGCTCGCCGACTGCGGAGCCGAGACCACGCAGGGCGACGATGCGGGGGCGGGGCGCGGCGCGCGGGACAGGGGGCGCGCCCCCCCCCGTCCCCGGCACCGCCTGGCGGCCAGCGTGGGGGCGCTGCGCGTGCACACCGTGCCCGGGCTGACCCTGGTGCAGACCACGGCGGCGGGCGAGGCGGTGCAGTTCGTGCCCGCCTTCCTCTCGGCGCGCCAGGCGGCGCGCATGGCCGCGGGGCACCGCCACCTGGCGCTGCGCCACGCCGTCGCGGCGCGGGCCCTGGGCCGGCGCGCGTGGTGGCGCCGCGTGGAGGCCACCGCCGTGGCCCTGGCCATGGGGCCCGAGGATTTGTCGCGCGGGGGGCGGGGCGGTGGCGGGGGGGGCGGTGCGGGGAGGGGCCTGGGGGAGGAGGAGGACGGCATCGACGAGCCCCCGGAACTGAGGGAGTTTGCCAGGGTGAGCCTGCGTGAGTGCTGTCCTAGTGGGAGCGGTGGCTGTGTTTGGGAATGGTGTTGTCTGCGATTGTTATTTGAGAGGACGGTAGTGTGCAATATTCGTCCCCGGCGCTGACAATGTGGTGGCGCCAGGATCTGGGTTCCCCAGCAAGCCCCCCTCCGGCGATGCCCTGCGTCACACAATGGAGGGCCTCGCCTGACCCGGCATGCGCGGCCCGCCCCCAGTCCATCCTCACTCCCAGCTGCCCCCTTCTCGTCCCACCCGCACAGGAAGTGGCGGCCGACATGGACCTCAGCTCCCTGCTCCCGCCACCCTCCCCCCTCGGGTGAGGCGCCTGAGTGTTGCCGTGCCATGATCGACACCGATGCCAGGCCCGAGGAATAGCCGGTCTCGCACCTGGAGCCGCACCTGTTCCTCCCCAGCATCCACCGCCATCTTCATCATACCAGATCCCGTCTACTCCAGTCCCCCAACCCCCACTCCATTCCCCCCTCGCCCACGCCAGGCTGGTGCGGCGCGGCCTGGGCCTGCTGGCCTGCGGTACCGTCTCGCTGGTCGGCAGCCTGGGCCTGGCCCTGGCCCAGGCGGCCGACGGCGCGCTGGCCGCCGTGCCGCCCGGGGCGCGCGCGCTGGGCCTGGCGCCCACCTGCGGCGTGGCCTCCCAGGACCTCGGCGCTCTGGTGACCGCCTGCGCGGCCTTCAACGCGGCGCGGGAGCGCGGGGCGGCGCCCGCGGCGCGGGACGCGCGCCGGGCCACGCTGGCGGCTGCCGCCATCGCGCTGGGCGGGCTGGCCTGCCCCGTGCCCCAGGCGCCGCCGCGGCCGGGGCCCGGGCGCCGCGCCGGCTGGCTCTTCCTGCGCCCGCAGGTGTCGCGCGGGCTGCTGCCGGGCGGCGGCCGTGGCGCGACGGCCCGCGTCGCCGCCGCCCTGGCCCGGCTGGAGGGCAACGGCCTGGCGCGGTATGTGGCGCAGGACGGGTCGCCCGCCGCGCTGGCGGAGGGCGTGGCCGCGCGGGCAGGAGGCATGGTCCTCCCCGTCACCAGCATCGGCAGCGCAGAGGTGAGGGGGGAGCGGGGCGATTGGGTGGGGTGGGGGCTCCCTGCTGATAGTGGTGGCTGCGCGCGCAAGTGTGAGTTCGGGGCCGAGGGGGCCTGGGCGGAGGTGGATGGGCCAGACGCAGTGCCTGGCAGGAGCCAAGAAGTCCGGGCTGACGCCATCAGCCAGGCGCCATCCCCATCCTCACTCCTTTACACACCACCCCCCTGCAAACCAACACAGGATGTCGATGCGAGCTTGAACGAGGCGGTGGCGGGGAAGGGCATCATCCTGTATGGCAGCTGGGACCTGCCCGTCTCCTCGGTGCACGTGGGCGTGGACGACGTGCTGCGCTTCCTGCCGCCGCCCCCGGTTAATGATGGCGTCGAGGAGGTGGGCGCGGGGGGGCCAGGCGCGGACCCACCCTCGGACGCCATGCCCTGACGCCGCCGGCATGCTGTACGATGGAGAGTAAAGCCCGGGTCGTGGAGGGATTGCGGTGCAGTTGTTGCCGCATGGTCTGAGGGAGAGGGGGGCCGCACCTGGCCGCCAGGACACCTCAGCTTCCCGGGCGAGTTTGGGTGCTGCCAGGCACCCACACCGACGTGAAGGGCGACACGTTTCATGGCGCTCTTCATCCCGCTCGCACAGTGAGGTCCCCGTGGGTTCTCAAACCCAGATGTCATATTTCCCTTACTGAAAGGCCCAACGAGGCCCGATCAGTCCGCAGATCGTCGTGCGACACGCTGCGAGACTGGCCTTCTGAAAGTGTGAACCCCTCGCCGAGGAAGGGAGGAGCGTGACCATGGTATATATAAGCAAAGGTATGCCATGGTATTGCGGAGTCGGTCGATGGGCTGTCCGCCGATGTCTGTCTGCCGGAGCCCAGCCCGTCACACCGCCCAGACACCTCCAGACACCCACTCCCGCCCGTGCACACCGCTGCAGGGAAGGTCGGCAGCAGGCGGAGCAGCACACATGCCCTCCTAGGATTCTTCATCGGGATATGGAACCTCCTGTCCCTCTTGTGAGCGCAGGGGAGAGTGGGATCCCCGATTGGTGCCCCGAACAGGCCTGCAAAGGCCACTGCCTGATGCTGATCCCCACTTCCCCTCCCTCTCCACAGCTTTCGCACGCTCATCAACCCTGCAGCGGTACTAGAACAGCGACAACGAGACAGTGATGGAGGAGGGGGACACGGCAGGACTGGGGCCGGCAACAGCGGAAGGAGCAGGCCAAACCGCGTGACTGGGCTCAGCGACCTGGGCAGTGGAGGAAGTGAGTGAGGGCCTCGCTGTGGCTGCGACGGACAGTGTCCGAGACTGGCGGGTACAGCAGCTCCTGTTGGGAGATCGAGCTCCTGGAGTGCACCCTCAGCGCCCATCTGCACCCCAGATTTCCCCACACCAATGCCTTCCTCCGGCCTGCAGGTATCCCTTTTGGCGGGGGGTGCTGTGGATGACGAGGAGGTAAGGGGGCTGCATCCCCTCCCCTCCCCTCCCCATGGACCCTACATCCCTGCATACGTACCATGCCCCCCTCTCGTCTGGGTGTGAGGAACTCCCAGACCGTGCTGCTCCCTGGGTGAACGAGGCTCACGGCTTTGACCCTGAAACCCACCCTACACAGACCAAACCCATGCCCCAAGCCTTGCGCCTCTGTACCACTTGTAACACTAGACTTGGCTGCAGGCGCCTCCTTGGGGCACGCCCAGGGGGCTCTGGGGGCGGGGGTGACCTCCACGATCGCGTGCATGGAAGCTGAAAAGCAGCCAGCGCCCGTCTAGGCCGGCCCCGCGGCCGCCTTCCTGTTCTCAATGAGCCTCACCGCCCCTGCGCCGGCCATGTACAGCCCCACCAGGGGCACGGCGAGTAGCGTCTGGGTGAAGGGGTCCGTGGAGGGCGTGAGCACGGCCGCGGCCACGGTGGCGCCCACCACGACGTACTTCCACTGCGCCAGCATGGCGCGGGAGGAGACGATGCCCAGCTGCCCCAACAGGACCTGCAGCACGGGGACCTGTGGTGGCGGTGGGTAAGAAAGGGGGGAGAATGGAGGGGGGTGGGAGGGACGCGCTTGGGAGCTGGCAGATGTTGCCACATGCCGGCCGATGGGCAGGCCAGGGCAGGGTCGGCCGTCAGCACGGCAAGTGGTTGGTTGGGGGCAGGCCATGAGCCACAGAAAACCCTGGACAGGGTCGCATCAGGCCCTGGAGCCTCACGCACTGCGCGCCGCACCTGGAAGGCGAGCCCCGTGCTGAGCATGAGCACGAGGACGAAGGAGAAGTACTGGTCGATGGACCAGAGGGACTCCACCGCGCCGTCGGCGTAGGACACGAAGAAGGATAGGGCGGCGGGGGCCAGGACCTCGTAGGAGAAGAAGAGGCCCAGGTAGAAGAGGGCGGAGGAGCCGAAGACGACGGGGGCCAGGAAGGAGCGCTCGGAGCGGGTGAGGCCGGGGATTACATAAGCGATGATCTCGTACAGCACCGTGGGCATGGCCAGCAGAATCCCGGTGTAGCCCCCGACCTTTGAGGTGGGGAATCGGGGAGGGAACATGGTTTGGATGGGGAGAGGAGGGTATGACAGTCGCGGACGGGAGTCCCTGCTGGGCTTTCTCAAAGGTGGGGAATCCAGGGATGCACAAGGAGACACCTGAGGCCTGCATTGCCGGGCGGCCTCGCTCCATGTAGAAACAATAAACAGGGGGGCCTTGCCGGCGTTGCTTCAGGCTGTGAATTCCACTCCGCTCAGGCACGCATGATCCCCTGCACTCTGCCTCCCTGCCCGGGGCTGGTCGTGAATGAGAGACCACTCTGCAGGACGGCGGTGCACACCCCAGCTACCCCATGCACCCACCCCCAGGGTCAGCCCACCTTGAGAGTGGTGAAGAAGAACTCGCCCGGGGAGAGCTGGAGGAAGCGGACTCCCTGCTGGGCCACTGGTGCCTCCAGGAAGAGCACCAGGTCCTTGGAGAAGGCGAAGCAGGTCAGCACCGCCACGGCGGCGGCGATGCCACCCACCAGCACCCGCTCCCGCAGCTCGTCGAGGTGATCCCAGATGGGCATCTCAAACCCCTGAGTCAGCTCCTCCTCGTCCGGGTTCAGCCATCTGGCCACCGCCGTGCGCGTGTCCTCGGCATCCAGGGTGGGCGGGAAGGAGTCTGTTTGGGGGGAGACACATGGCGGGGAGGGCTGGGAGATGAAGGTAGAAACGGCGGCCCTGGGACGTGGGCATCGAGCGGTCCGCCAGGAGAGTGCGCCACAGCACATCTCCTAAGAAACAAAGCTGCACTGCAGGATTGCAGACCACATGACGTTTGTGGCATGCGTAGAGCACCAAGTGCTGCTTCCCATTCCCATTGCCAGTGATCTCTGGTCGCATGCTGTAATCATGGGACCACCTCCCATCTGGGTCATGAATGCCGACACCGTCTTCCCACGCACCAAGCTCCGAAGCACGATTATTGCGCGCTGCATCATCTTCTGAAGCCTTTGGCCTTATCCTCTGCCGAGCGCTCCATGTACGTGTGACACGCTTGCCGGCAATATGCCTGTGAGCAGGCCTGCATGGCTGACACCCGGCCTCGAATGGCCTGACACGGCAGCCAATCGTGGATGCGAGCATCATTTTTGAAGCCTGTTGGAATACTCCACGCATCAGATTGCAGACTTTCCGGGCTTCCCCTGTATGTCGCATGCAGTCCATGTCGTTGTTCCCCGTCATGAGTTAGGACATGGACCTTGGTCTGGGGGTACCACGGGTGTACCGCTGCTGAGGAGGGACGCTCGGATGGTGAGCGAGGCCCGCCTCATCTCCCGGTCAGTGCCTCGCCTGGACCCATCCATTTCACCAATTCCTGCATTGCGTTGGGATGCACTAGGTTTGCACACCCACACATCCCTCCTTTCTCCGGCCCCAGAGCGATTCCCACACTGAGCAAATCCTAGCTGCAGGCCTTCACTATTCCGACACACGCAGGCCCACGACAGCGCGCATCCCTGCCTCTCCAACTCGATCCAGCAACACCCTGAGAGTCTGTGCACACCAAGATGTCAGCCCTTGCGCCTGCACCCCCCGCCCAGCATCAACCCGGCAACGATGGTGAATGGAAGGCGTCCCTGGCCCTCCCCCCCAAAGACAATCGCATCAAGACTGTGGTACGTCATGAGCACCAGGAGGGAATACTCCTCCACGCCCGGGCGTGGCTTATGAGGTACCGAACCACCTGTACCTTGCCAAGCTGATGACTCTGAGTGCCCGGCGTAACGGTGCTGTGCCCTCCTCCCATCTCGCCAGGATGTCACGGCGACGAAGGGCAACAGCTTCGAGGATTACTTCCTGAAAAGGTGGGTCCCTGAGGGTGTCCGGGCCTTTGCCCCGCTGGTTCCGGCAAGTATATCTCCCGGCCAGCGGGGTGGTGGGTGGAGTGTTCTTTGGGAGGGCCAAACAATTTCCCTCCTCCCCTGGCTTGTCATCTTCACCCCGTTTGCGTCTCGTTCGCTCTTCATCATGTGAGGGGCAGGTGCGCCCGCCTCGTACCCTTCCATGCCTCGAGCCCAGGGAGCTCGGTTGTGATCCCTGGATGCTCCATCGCCTGCGCCTGCTGAAAGGCTCGAGCAAGCTCACTCTCGATCATCCCTTGACTGTCTCCCCCCCCCCCCCCCCCGGGCCC